AAATACGCAATGAAGAAATGCATTCAGGCTAAGTAGATTTTCTAAAAGAAAATAGCACTGTAACATTAGAGCTAATGTGTTAAAAAAAACTATAGAAATATTTTTAAAGTATTATGACAGATGTTTTAATAGAACGATCAAATCTGATACAGAGGAAACACAAATTTCTTTTTTCATTTTCTTTTCTTTCTTTTTTTTTTTTTTAAATCGCATCCTGAATTGTAAGATACACAAAGTTCTAAAAGGGACACTTTAAATCTTACAATGGAACCACCTAATAAAGTAAGATGAAGGAGGGGGGTTTTCAAAAGTTTAAATCTAAGAGGGAAATAATATTGCATATTACAATGAGTAGCCAATTCAGGACGAGGGCTAGAAAGGACAATTGTCTTACTTCTGTCTAACCTACTTGAATCTACATGCCAACTGAACAGTGACTCCTAAATGATGTCCTCATACCTGCTAACTTTCAGCTTCACTTCTACTTTCTTGTAAAGGGTATGCAGAACAAACAAAAGGTCTATGGGTCTTAGGTGATGAACCACAGTGGAGGGAAGGAAAGGATTATAACAGTTCTCTGTCAGGGTATGCTCAGACTCAGTGCTAAGTGTGTTTAATGCCAGAAACTACAAAGCACAGGGACAGGCAAAACCCCAGAGAAAGGAACCTGAGAAACTAGATGCTTAGGTCTGGCTCTGGTTCAGATTCTCAAGGCTGGGTGTGGAGGACACACTATGAATATCTCACATTGACCAGGCAGTCCATAGGGAGAAAGACAAATACAGATTATACAAAAAGGACACAGACACCCTGACAAAATGTGCCTCTAAGTGGAGTACCTCACCTATTGGGTGTCCTAGAAACTCATGGGAGGCAACTAGATCTAGTATGAATCTAGATCTAAGTTAGGACAGGAAAACTTTATAGTAAGCAACTTCTTAGGAGCTGGAGGGCAGGTTCCAGAGAGGAAGGCAAAGGATACACAGAGAATTATAGTACTTTTGAACACTGATTCTAAGGGTTGTGATTTATGCAGGCTATTTAAAGAGGGATATGTGTATTGGAGTCTGACTGCCTGGGTTTGTATCCTGGCTTCTTCACCACTTATTAGCTACAGAGCAAGCTATTAAGCACTGTGCCTTTGTTTCCTATCTCTCCCTATTGTACAGGGATAACAGCACAAACCTTATAGATAATTTATGTGTAGGACACTTAGAACATTGTTTGGTAACCACCTTGCCTTTCAGTTACTAGTACTCTTTACCTCACCTTCACTGAATTATTATTAAGAAAGAAAAAAGAAAAATAAATTAAGGCTAATCTGTTTTACTTCTTGTCAATCAGCTCTGGCAAAAGATTTGATGAATTTAAACTTAAAAATGAGACTTGAGGACTGCTCTTGTCTTCACTTGAACTGCCTTTTATTATGTTCATATTTTCACTGTCCACCATTCCCATGAATAATTTAGAAAGGGCTGCCTGACACTTTTGGAAACAAAAATATTTGAAGTTAAAAAACTAACAGATGGGTAGAGCTGCTTTGAATAAACACAAGGGTAAAAAGAATTCAAAAGCTACTATACTTATACCACAAATAAGAAATTCATATTAGAGAGAAGTCAAATGCAAAGAAAGACTACTATGCTTACAATGGATTTAAAATATAATTAGCACCCTTAAATACATACCAAATGAAATATAAAAATACACAGAAAATCTAAACAGTTATGCTAATGTATTCAATAATAGAGAGAAATAGAAGTTGAAATGCTTTTTAATTATATACTATAAAAGTATAGTTAGAACATTTTCAAACGCTAGAGAGAAAAAGAGAAAGTCCAGGTCAAGTATTTAAATCAAAGAATAAGAAAGAAAATAGAACTGAAAGATTTAATACTATTCATTGTTTTCTAAATATAATTTAGAATTAGAAAAAAAGGGACATTGTAAACCTGAACTTTAAATATTTAGTTGACTTTTACTGAAAGATACGACATTCCTATAATGACTAAAGTGGAAAGAATTAGTGGCTCAACAAAGAGCGAGCACCTATCACCACAGTGGCTCAAGAAAGAGTGAGCACCTATCACCAATGTACCAGCAATATTTACTAAGTGAAAAATCAACTCATGAAGTGCACTCTAAACGAGCCCCTATTGTTTAAAGGGTGGGAGGCAAAGTAGTCATCATGGACCAGTTTTGGTGTGTAGCCTGACTTTTATTTTGGATGCAATATTTGCAAACAATTATGTTATTGATTTAAGAACACTCAAAGGAAAACACTGCATAATAGAATGAATTTGCATGGCACAGATCTTGCTATGCTAATACAATAGCTTTTTCAAGATAACAGAGAGTGGATAAAGGGATCTGGGTAGACAACATTTATCTACATTTTCGCAATGCTTTCAACTCTGTATTGCATATCAGCGTGCTAAGAAATTAAGAGACGAATTGTATAAATGATGTGACAGAGTGAATTACTAGTGGCTTACAGACTGAAAATAAAGGATTATTATTCTTTCAGATACAGAAATGTATACATACATGCATACTAATGTATCTCAGGTTTCAATCTGCAATTAGACTAATTATATGAAATAAAATAAATGTAGCTTATACATTAATCACTTTCAGGGAAATGTTAATTTGATAGCATTCAGATATCTGGACAACTCAAGAGAAAAAATAATTGGAAGTGCACAACAACAACAAAGAATCTAGCAAGTAGTTTAGCAAATTTTGACAGTATTTTGACATTCCTAGGTTTCATTTTGCATAGTCTAATTCATTAGAGCAATAGCTTAATAGGTAAGGGCCTGTCTTAGAAAAGCCCTTAACAAAGTTGTGTTATACTTTCAATGAGGTTATTTGGAATTCCATTGCAAGCTCAAAATAAGCTACTTAGCATGAATTTAAAAGAATAAAGGGAAATTGGTCATTGATTTAGTCATTCACCGTGCAATAATTCAAGAAACTAAGTTTCTACTATGTGTTAGGCATTGTAGATACTAAATCCTCTATAATCCTGTAGTTTATACTCTAGTTAGAATGCTAGATTTTTAAAGATGCTAATTAAAACAGCTATGATTGGAGGAATATGCTTTTTCAACAATTATCAGGAACTGAAAGGGAAAAAGTACTATGTATTGCAGACTAAGTATAGGGTCAGTTTGATTTAGTGAAAAGTCTAAATTAAAAATTACTTTAGAAAGAATGACAATGTCTATAGCTACTTGTGAATTAAGAAATTCCTAACCAAATGTCTTTTAAAAGATGCTTAGAACTAATTTAATGAAAACAAGAGAGACATACAAATATCAACTTCCAACATGTAAATGAGTTCTGACATATTCAAAAAGTTTCTTTTGCTAAGATAAGCACTCATATTATACATTTTTATAAAAACAAATCACTTTGCAATTTCAATATCTATGGTTACTCTCAGTGCCATTCATTTTCAATTAATTAAGATTCCAGTTAAGATCTGAATTAATAGGATTAGGCTAATAACTACTACTACATATTTTCACTGTGTTGCTTGGTCATAAGTACTACACATGTGATTTGCAGTACCACAGTGTTTTATAAGGGCCATTATGTTACTAATTAGTTACATTGATCAGAATGCCACACAATACAGCAGTACTTAAACATTATAATTTGCTTAGACTGCTTTGCATTTAGTCTTATATTTATTTGTACTATGGGCACAAGGTAAGCATAACTGAAATCAGATAGCTTATTTTCACTAACAATGCCAAGAGATAACTCTATTGAGGATTCTTGCTATTGAAATTCATTTTTTCTCAGTATACCATAAAATTAGTTGATCCCAGAAAAAAGCATACAGCCAGGATTTCAGGGGGAGGGGGAAGGGTCAGATAAGGTAAGAACACTATACTCTATGTATACAAATTCATCCACATTTAATTTGAATCTACTTATTTGTAGGAATCTGCAACTTAAATCCACAGTGGTTTTTTTTTTTTTTTTTTTTTTTTGGCTTGCTTTTGAGGATGGCTCTGATGGGATTCTGCTTTTAAGCATTCTAAACCATTATACTTTGGATTTTACTGAATCTCAGCTTCCATGTAGTGGCTCAGAGTGCAAATTATCTTCTGGTTGTTATAGCAAAACACAGGTACCTATTAAGGCAACTATTTCAACTTTCGGATTTTGACTACAGCACCCAAAATCCAAATTCTGGCACATACTGTCAGACTTCAACTTCCCAAAAGCTCACAACAGAAAATAGTTACCCTGTGAAATTAGCCAGTAAAGTGACATGATTGCCAGTCTAAGCAGATCACCAACTTAACTCACTGAGAAAGATTTGCCTAATCTTGCTTTAAGCACTGTAATTTATAACAGTATATGTATATAATCCCCATGTGAAGAAAAAAAAGGCAAATTTTTCACTCACATAAATCACAGATAGAAAACTAAGGGGGAAGTAAAAATTTGTTAAAGGGGATAAAAATGTGTATATTTGTTTAAATAGTATTTTGGGGAAATGGCCTAAATGTTGTTTTTTAAAGAGAATATTTATCTTGAAAAATTAAGACATGGATTTCATAGTACGATTATTTATGACATTTTGAATTTTAATATTCTCTCAACTTTAAAAAAAAAGTTTTGTTGGCAAGAGGACTTTTCTTTGTCACTACTAAAATATTTCAAAAGCCATGGATAAAATTCAATCTATTTCTGTGACTGATTTTGATAATTTTTAAACTATAAATATCAGCAGGAACAAACCAACATCAGCATTACTATTATATCCTTCCAATTTCCCAGACTACATATTAGGATGCTTATAAACTAATCTCATAAGAGCAAACATTAGTGTCCAAGACAATGAATATAGTGTGATACTGTGTCATAGTTTTGGTTCAGGAAATAGCATGAAGTAACCCCTAAGGCATTAGATTATATGGTCTACTCAGGAAATACAACCAAATAGTGATTTCTCAGAGAAAAATAAACACATGCTTTACCTTCCTCCTTTCTTCTCTTTGCTTCTTCCTCATTTCTTTCCTTGGCTTTCAATGCTTCATCAGCTTTTG